CAGAACGCGTTTCCTTCCTGAGCGGTATGATGGCTGCGTGGTCCCATGGTGTTTATACTTGCGTACTATTGTTTGTACAGATGAACGTGGTACCTTCAGGCGTTTGGAAATTGCTCCGATGGATGAACCAGACTTGTGGAGGCCTACAATTTTTTTTGACATGAGGAGGTCTTGGCTGATTTCTTTTGATTTTCCCATGATGTCAAGCAAAGAGGCACTGAGTTTGAAGGTAGGCCTTGAAATACATCCACAGGTACACCTCCAATTGACTCAAATTATGTCAATTAGCCTATCAGAAGCTTCTAAAGCCATGACATCATTTTCTGGAATTTTCCAAGCTGTTTAAAGGCACAGTCAACTTAGTGTATGTTAACTTCTGACCCACTTGAATTGTGATACAGTGAATTATAGGTGAAATAATCTGTCTGTAAACAATTGTTGGAAAAATTACTTGTGTCATGCACAAAGTAGATGTACTAAACGACTTGCCAAAACTATAGTTTGTTAATAAGACATTTGTGGAGTGGTTGGAAAACTAGTTTTAATTACTCCCACCTAAGTGTATGTAAACTTCCGACTTCAAATGTATATGTTGGGATCAATGAAGGGTGGATAGGAATTTGGTGTATGGAAAGTTACTGATTGAGACAAGGAAAAATGCAGAGAGTTCATATTCTGTTCCTAAGGAGGGAGGCAAAGGGCAACAGTCTAGTTTCAGTTCCTGATAAGGCAGGCCAGCTGCAGAACTAGGGAGGAGCGAGGAATTCGGCTTGATGTCAAGTCAACAGATGAAGTGATGATCATATCACCCAGACACTGTGGAGATCAGGTCATCTCTCCTAACTGATGATCATATCACCCAGACACTGTGGAGATCAGGTCATCTCTCCTAACTGAGCAGCTGGTGAAGAATGAAACTGTCCAACAAAATGTTTCTACTTTCACCAGACACTAATTTCTCCACACCCACAGATGTTATGGAAATGTTCGTAAGGCCTATTGTAGTGTGAATCATTGGACCCATTATATTTAAAGAGCTCAAAATGATACCAGCCCAACAACACTGACAAGTACTGTCATTTGACATTTAACAAGTGAACTGCCTCGCACACCACATTTGAAATCCGGAGCTTATTACTGCATGTCCAGTAGATCATTTGTTTGATCAGCTCAGTTGTAAATGTCAAATGCATAGTAAATGTCACAGAGACCGCTATGTACTGGAACTATTCCATGTATATCGGTTATCAACATCAGTGACTGGGAGGCAAAACATTTAGTGGACTTACTAATAAGCCTAAATGAGAACATCCTCTGGCAACTTACCCCCAGCTGGAGGCTACATTTACCCCCAGGTGGAGGCTACATTTACCCCCAGGCGGAGGCTACATTTACCCCCAGGTGGAGGCTACATTTACCCCCAGGTGGAGGCTACATTTACCCCCAGCTGGAGGCTACATTTACCCCCAGGCGGAGGCTACATTTACCCCCAGGTGGAGGCTACATTTACCCCCAGGTGGTGGCTAAATTTACCCCCAGCTGGAGGCTACATTTACCCCCAGGTGGTTGCTACATTTACCCCCAGCTGGAGGCTACATTTACCCCCAGGTGGAGGCTACATTTACCCCCAGGTGGAGGCTACATTTATTTAAAAAATACTACAGATCACGAATAAACCAAAGAAGGCCTATCTTTCCATGGCAGTATATGGCACACCAACCCATAGCAGTATACGGCACACCTACCCATGGCAGTATACGGCACACCTACTCATGGCAGTATACGGCACACCTACCCATGGCAGTATATGGCACACCTACCCATGGCAGTATACGGCACACCAACCCATGGCAGTATACGGCACACCAACCCATGGCAGTATACGGCACACCTACTCATGGCAGTATACGGCACACCTACCCATGGCAGTATATGGCACACCTACCCATGGCAGTATACGGCACACCTACCCATGGCAGTATACGGCACACCTACCCATGGCAGTATACGGCACACCTACCCATGGCAGTATACGGCACACCAACCCATGGCAGTATACGGCACTCCTACCCATGGCAGTATACGGCACACCTACCCATGGCAGTATACGTCACTCCTACCCATGGCAGTATACGGCACACCAACCCATGGCAGTATACGGCACACCAACCCATGGCAGTATACGGCACTCCTACCCATGGCAGTATACGGCACTCCTACCCATGGCAGTATACGGCACACCAACCCATGGCAGAATACGGCACACCTACCCATGGCAGTATACGGCACTCCTACCCATGGCAGTATACGGCACACCAACCCATGGCAGTATACGGCACACCTACCCATGGCAGTATACGGCACACCAACCCATGGCAGTATACGGCACACCTACCCATGGCAGTATACGGCACACCTACCCATGGCAGTATACGGCACACCTACCCATGGCAGTATACGGCACACCTACTCATGGCAGTATACGGCACACCAACCCATGGCAGTATACGGCACACCTACCCATGGCAGTATACGGCACACCTACCCATGGCAGTATACGGCACACCTACCCATGGCAGTATATGGCACACCTACCCATGGCAGTATACGGCACACCAACCCATGAGTAGGATGGAGTCTTTCTACCTGCAATCTAATGATGGTGACTTTTATGTATAATTGTATGAATGGGTTGTGCCCCAGGATACTTTTAAACCAGATTCACAAACTCACTATGACAGCATGTTGACCATTAATGCTGGATGCACAGAAATCAATCATGATCATTGAAACCATGAGGTCCAGACAGCTGGCCTTCGAGGAGGAAGTGCAGAATGCAATCCCTGTATAATTACACAACAGAGTTCATATGTTTCCTGTGGGTAATGTAATCCCTGTTGCTCTATCCAGACAATGGCATGTGGCCAAGTCCTGTTTGACATTTTGGTGACTCATCTGCATAGCCTTGTGTGTTATTAGTATTATGTTGATTAGCAATCAGGTCAGACAGTGCAACGGAAGAGAATTGGGACAGCAGGTGGAGACAGACTACAGTGCAACGGAAGAGAATTGGGACAGCAGGTGGAGACAGACTACAGTGCAACGGAAGAGAATTGGGACAGCAGGTGGAGACAGACTACAGTGCAACGGGAGAGAATTGGGACAGCAGGTGGAGACAGACTATGCTATGTTCGCATGAAATTACATTCGTTTTATTTGTAAATATCTTAAATAAAAATGCTCACTTCATCTACAACAGTGTATGTGAAAGTGTGGTAGACCGCAAACTAAATGAAATATTTGTCATCATGTCACCTTGGACTGTTTTTAAGTCTGAATACATGAACGCATATTTAACATTCTTGTTAATAATGAATCTGTGTATTCATGTACATTTCTAACGGAAGTTAGACCGTGTTTGTAATGACTTCAAAAGCTCTAAGTAGAGCAGGAACAGTATATATGAGTTGCGCTGCAGGGAGACATCTAAGAGCAGCCCATGGATATGTACCATCAATCTTCTGAAGCTTCTTCTTCAAAGTGGAAAAGCCACAACAGAAAATATGCCAGGACCTTAGCAGTGTAGTAGTGCAGTGCTTCTCTGTTTCTGTTTTCAGGTGTGGATTATGACAGTACTTCTTGTACATCCACCGGTCAAGGCATACCTACCAGGCTTCCACTAGAACCTCAGGGTGAACCGGTCAAGGCATACCTACCAGGCTTCCACTAGAACCTCAGGGTGAACCGGTCAAGGCATACCTACCAGGCTTCCACTAGAACCTCAGGGTGAACCGGTCAAGGCATACCTACCAGGCTTCCACTAGAACCTCAGGGTGAACCGGTCAAGGCATACCTACCAGGCTTCCACTAGAACCTCAGGGTGAACCGGTTAAGGCATACCTACCAGGCTTCCACTAGAACCTCAGGGTGAACCGGTCAAGGCATACCTACCAGGCTTCCACTAGAACCTCAGGGTGAACCGGTCAAGGCATACCTACCAGGCTTCCACTAGAACCTCAGGGTGAACCGGTTAAGGCATACCTACCAGGCTTCCACTAGAACCTCAGGGTGAACGGTCAAGGCATACCTACCAGGCTTCCACTAGAACCTCAGGGTGAACCGGTCAAGGCATACCTACCAGGCTTCCACTAGAACCCTCAGGGTGAAGAGGACACGGGAGAAATGCCAAAGTAAAAGGTACTGGTATTATAATTAAAGAGCTCCATCTTCTGGGTTAGAACAGTTATGGCAGTTGTGACGACATCAAATCAAAGTGAATTGGTTGTGTACACAGTTTATTTTACATTTAAGTCATTTAGCAGACGCTCTTATCCAGAGCGACTTACAAATTGGTGCTTTCAACTTATGATAGCCAGTGGGACAACCGCTTTTTTTTTTTTTTTGGGTGGTGGGGGAAGAAGGATTACTTTATACTATTCCAGGTTTATCAGATGTTATAGCGGGTGCAGCGAAATGCTTGTGTTACTAGTTCCGAACAGTGCATCAAAAATGTCAAACAAGTATACAAATATTAATCCACTGATGACATACACTTTTATTTTGTTTTGGTATACATGCTGTTTTACATATTTATAACAAAACATGTAACGCTATTGTCTTGCTATCGTCTTAGCAATAAAAAACAAGCAACCGCAAAGGAATAACTTCTACAGAAGAATGATTTCTATTGCTATATGATATTTCAAAAACGTTTGAAATTCAAATTTCTTCAAGTTTAAATATTTTTAATTATACTTTACAATTTTACATCTAACAAACAAAATTTGACATGTAATGCCTCATGGTGCAGTTTGAAGGAAGTTGAAGGTAGTTCGGTGAGTGATTGCTAACTAGCGTTAGCGCAATGACTGGAAGTCTATCGGTACAGCTAGCAGAAACATAAAAATGGTATTTATGAGTTCATGTGCCTCTGGGTAAGTAGAAAAAAGGGCTTAGTTGCCAAAATTCAGCACTATCCCTTTAAGACTTTACCAATGGTAGTTATACTGACACAGATTTAGCATAGTCCTGGACAGAACAACATGCTGAATGGAGAATATCCATCAATAGTTATTTTTAGTCCAGGATTAGGCTGATATCTGTGTGGGCAACCGGCCCTTAATTATTATCCTTCAACTGTCACTAATCATACTTTTGAAATGTGTCAAGATTTAGGGTGTTACGGTGTCCATATTAGGACAGCATCACATGTCCATGGAAGTTGTCCTAAAATGGATACCGTACCACTGCCAACAGTCCTTTTCTCAGTGGTGCACAGAGCAATGGTTTAAAAAACAACCTGATATTAAAACCCAGAGACCAAATGCCATTTGCTCAGTTCAAAATAAATCGCTAGCAGCTCAAAAGAATTGCACGGAAGAAAAGACAGCGGGTAAATGTTTACGCCCATTTGGTCACTCACTCTCCACATCGCACTACAACTACCACAGTGCATTAAGGCACCAGCACTTTGAAATGAGCTGAGCGTAACCTTAACATAGGACAACACATGGCAGCATGGGTCTGTGGGCTAGCATGCAACACACAACTTAAAATGGCAAAAACAGCCCAATAATCATTCCTATACACTCTCTTATTTTGTTAATATTGTATGGTTTTCAAACACATTCTAAGACCATAACACAGAATATCATCTGAGTAAGCCTATGGAAGTTGAGGTTTTCAGGTAGGGGGAAAATAAATCACGCCAAGGCATTTGCATCCAGCTGAAATAAGGCCAGGATGTCGAGCATGGCCTGTTTGATGTGTTTTCCAAAACGATGAGAGTCCTATTGGACAGAGAGGAAACAATTTAGAATGGACATGTTCTAAAGGCAAGCTGATACAATAGAACTTTAGAATGGACACGTTCTAAAGGCAAGCTGATACAATAGAACTTTAGAATGGACACGTTCTAAAGGCAAGCTGATACAATAGAACTTTAGAATGGACACGTTCTAAGGCAAGCTGATACAATAGAACTTTAGAATGGACACGTTCTAAGGCAAGCTGATACAATACAACTTTAGAATGGACACGTTCTAAGGCAAGCTGATACAATACAACTTTAGAATGGACACGTTCTAAGGCAAGCTGATACAATAGAACTTTAGAATGGACACGTTCTAAGGCAAGCTGATACAATAGAACTTTAGAATGGACACGTTCTAAGGCAAGCTGATACAATAGAACTTTAGAATGGACACGTTCTAAGGCAAGCTGATACAATAGAACTTTAGAATGGACACGTTCTAAGGCAAGCTGATACAATACAACTTTAGAATGGACACGTTCTAAGGCAAGCTGATACAATAGAACTTTAGAATGGACACGTTCTAAGGCAAGCTGATACAATAGAACTTTAGAATGGACACGTTCTAAGGCAAGCTGATACAATAGAACTTTAGAATGGACACGTTCTAAAGGCAAGCTGATACAATAGAACTTTAGAATGGACATGTTCTAAGGCAAGCTGATACAATAGAACTTTAGAATGGACACGTTCTAAGGCAAGCTGATACAATATAACCTGTATGGAGAGGCAGTTGGTATCAATAGTGGCTGGTCAGCCATGAAATTCAGGTCTGTATGTTACCCAGGCGATAGCGGAGTCTTTGTTTCAAGTGAGGACAGCTGATTGAAAGCAACATTCCAGATAGGCCATGTGGATCAGCCAACTCACCGTCTCAGGACTGGAGTGCTTGCTGGAGATATGGAAGTTAATGAGGTTTTCTCCCAAGATGATGTAGGACACACCATATCCATCATCTGCCACCTGACACAAAGAGAGAAACACAATCAGCGCGTGTAAAAGAGGATTACACGGCAGCACAGAGATAATTACACAAAATATCCTACTGTATTTTCAATTGCTAAATTTGAGAAAACTTGGGCCCTTTAAAATGTTATTATTTTCATTTAAGATTTGTTTTACAGGTTTTGCCCCACTATTTCTCAGATTCTACTGAGTTACAGTTCATATAAGGAAATCAGTCAAATGGAGTCAATTCATTATGCCCTAATCTATGGATTTCACATGACTGGTCAAAGATGCCTTTAAAAAAAAGGTAGGGGCGTGGATCAGAAAACCAGTCAGTATCTGGTGTGATCACATTTTGCCTCATGCAGATCAGATCACCATTTGCCTGACATCTCCTTCGCATAGAGTCGATCAGGCTGTTGATTGTGGCCTGTAGAATGTTGTCCCACTCCTCTCCAATGGCTGTGTGAAGTTGCTGGATATGGGCGGGAACTGAAACACGCTGTCGTACACATTGATCCAGAGCATCCGAAACATGTTCAATAGGTGACATGTCTGGTGAGTATGCAGGCCATGGAAAAACTGGGACATTTTCAGCTTCCAGGAATTGTGTACATGTCCTTGCTACCTGGGGCAGTGCATTATCATGCTGAAACATGAGATGATGGCACGACAATGGGCCTCAGGATCTCGTCATGGTATCTCTGTGCATTCAAATTGCCATCGATAAAATGCAATTGTGTTAATTGTCTGTAGCTTATGCCTTCCCATACCATAATCCCACCGCCACCATGGGGCACTCTGTTCACAACGTTGACATCAGCAAACCGCTCACCCACACGACGCCATAAATGTGGTCTGCGGTTGTGAGGCCGGTTGGACGCACTGCCATATTCTCTAAAATGACGTTGGAGGCAGCTTATGGTAGAGAACATTCAATTCTCTGGCAACAGCTCTGGTGGACATTCCTGCAGTCAGCATGCCAATTGCACGCTCCCTCAACTTGAGACATCTGTGGCATTGTGTTGTGTGACAAAACTGCACATTTTAGAGTGGCCTTTTATTGCCCCCAGCACAAGGTTCACCTGTGTAATGATCATGCTGTTTAATCAGCTTCTTGATATGCCACACCTGTCAGGTGGAAGGATTATCTTGGCAAAGGAGAAATGCTCACTAACAGGGATGTAAACAAATTTGTGCACAAAATTTGAGAGAAATAAGCTTTTTGTGCGTATGGACATTTCCGGGATCTTTTATTTCAGCTCATGAAACATGGGACCAACACTTTACATGTTGCGTTTATATTTTGTTCAGTGTATGTTGTTGTTTCACATTTAGATTTTATGAGCACCAGGATGAAGAACACAGACAATAAGATTGAGCAATTATGTTTTAAGGGGGCATTACACTCCCAAATCTGCTCTGAAAACATCTGACAATCTTTAATGTTACTTTAATGTAATATCCCTTTAATGCCTGATTCATTTTGAGTAAAGGGCCCTATTGAGGTCGTGCAGGGAACTCACCGGGCCAAAGCCTCCCCCGCTGGACACGTACTCTGGGTGTCTGACCAGGTCAAACAGCTCCACCTGCTGGAGGGGAGTCTGACTGGTGGACAACCTCCAGGGCTCCGACAGCACCTACAGGAGAGGACACACACACACACACACACACACACACACACACGCACACGCACACCACACACAACACACACACACACACACACACACACACACACACACACACACACACACACACACACACAACACACACACACACACACACACACACACACACACACACACACACACACACACACACACACACACACACACACACACACACGCACGCACACACACGCACGCACACACACACGCTTTAACATACAAACCTAAAAATAAAAATATATAGTACATCCACAAGTCAAAATGCTGCATGTGACCTCTTTGAGGAAGGCTGAGTCCTCTCCCAGGTACTTGGAGACCACGTAGAGACAGAAGAGGTGGCGGTCGATGCCTCCTCCGGTCATGGCCAACCGGTACAGCTGCTGGTGTCTCGTCGCAGCTTCCTTCAACAGCTTCAGTCGCAGCTCTCTCTACAGAGAAGACAAGGAGTGGTAGGAAGAGACAAGGAGACTATATGAAAGAATGAAAGGGGATACCCTAGCACAACTCAACCCCTCTGAGACAGAGCGGTGCGGGGGGTAACAAGTAATGGTGAAATCCGTCTCTTTTGGCCAATTACACCCAGATATCACAATCTAACTGAAAAAAATTGGTTGAAGCATTTTTCTTTTGAAGAACGTAAAAAAATATATATATTTAATGAGGACTGACCCACAACCTTTCAGTTCCTGTAATGCTCACAGAGGGTCCTTACCGGGGTGTCGTCCACCATGGAGCGGACGAAGGCACAGGTCTCCACGGTGCAGGAACGAACCGTCTCTGTGCGCCCCTCTCTGAACATACGCGTCATGGACGCCTCGTACGTTAGACAGAACCTCCCCTTGTCCTGGAAGTCAAATTCAATGTAATACAATTCAATAAACTTTGTATTTATCCACTCAGGGGTGATTAAGGAAAATCAGGTTCACATTTTGTTTAGAGTAAAAACTCTGTTAACCAGCCAGTAATCTGGTTATAACATATTATAACTAGAGTATAGTTTCTGTTAACCAGCCAGTAATGTGTGGTTATAACATATTATAACTAGAGTATAGTCTCTGTTAACCAGCCAGTAATGTGGTTATAACATATTATAACTAGAGTATAGTCTCAGTTAACCAGCCAGTAATGTGGTTATAACATATTATAACTAGAGTATAGTCTCTGTTAACCAGCCAGTAATGTGGTTATAACATATTATAACTAGAGTATAGTCTCTGTTAACCAGCCAGTAATGTGGTTATAACATATTATAACTAGAGTATAGTCTCTGTTAACCAGCCAGTAATGTGGTTATAACATATTATAACTAGAGTATAGTCTCTGTTAACCAGCCAGTAATGTGTGGTTATAACATATTATAACACATACAGTAGTAAGACATAATAAAGGCCCATAAAGGCTTATAACAAGGTATTATACCTGTCGGCTAAAGTGTTACAGATTTTTCTTTCTGGCACATTTTAGTCTTGTCATGTTTGGTAAATAAATAATCCAAGTATATTTGTTATAGTTACTGTCCTTATTAAGGAGGATTTTTATCTCCTCAAACTACAGATTGTTGACAGCTACTCACAGCATCCCTGGTATTCATTCACATGTCCTAAGGAAGCTAAATTCCCAACCTGGGTTTTCATATATCCATCATTCCCTCTTTCCAATTGCCCAGTTGGCTAATCCTGGCTAATTAGCCAATGGAGTCATCCAATCAGCTGAACCTCTTCCTGTTGCCAGTCAACAGAGGCAGAGATAATGACCCTACCCTGAAGTGAGCCAGCTGCAGGGCGATCTGGATGAAGGCATCAGGGCTGGTGCGACACTTTTTGATCAGGCCCTTCCCGAAGCTGTTGAAGGGGATGATGTGGGAGTCAACGTCGTCTGCCAGGGCCTTGGCCACCATCAGCGAGCTGGCAATGGCCGTCTGACACTGAGGCACCGCACAGGGGGAACAAAGACACTCTGAATCAGCCCATTTCACTTGGTCTCTGATGTATTTGATCAAAGAGCCTCAGTTGTTGATTTCATTTGAAGCTTTGAGATGAGACAGTTGAAGGGGGGGTCCTCAGAAAGGTGAGAGCTTAGGTGTAAAGGTGTGAAATCTGAAGGTCTTTCTAACATCCAATCTATTATCACACATGTACCAAACAGACAGGATCACTGGGGATCATGTTTGATCACTGTAACAATGAAACAGAATGGAAAGGCTTGTGTGTGCATTAATGATATGCACTAATTGATCATAATTATGAAAACAATAAATAACTTTGAAAAGGGGAACATCCCTACAACATTTTAGTTTAACCCAAACCCCCTGTGGTGGGCTACCTCAGCTGGGATGTTCCACTGCAGCCTCTGGGGGCCTGGGAGGGACGGGTGAGGGTTTCCTTTGCAGTGGCCTTCCTCTGTGTAACCCAGCTTGACAGGGTCCATCGACAGCACATGCTACAATTAGACAATAACGTAATTTAGGGACATACATTTTTACATTTGACATTTTAGTCATTTAGCAGACGCTCTTATCCAGAGCGACTTACAGTTAGTGAGTGCATACATTTTCATACTGGCCCCCCGTGGGAATCGAACCCACAACCCTGGCGTTGCAAGCGCCATGCTCTACCAACTGAGCTACACGGGGCCCAGACACCATTTTTCCTGCCAGCGATCTATTCCTGATAACCTATACAGACACAGTGTAAACATTAACACAAACTAATGAAGAAGAAGAAAGGGTGTACTCTGCTAGCTACCTCCCAGAGGTGCCCTATGATGGGGGCATCTGCCCAGCTGTGCTCCGCGTTCAGACCCATGGTCCCGTTCCTGAACACGATGAGGTTGAAGGACTTATCAAACCACCTACAGGAAAAATACACAAACCCAAAACAGTGCTTGAGCACAGAGTAAGCTACAAACTCCAGTATTTAATTATTATTATTTTTTAAACATTTATTATACAAGTATTTTAATTCATAAGCGTTCATAACATTTATGAAAATGTCTAAACAATTTATAAGCATTCAGTAACATTCATAAGTAGTTATAACGGCTTATTCTTCAACATTTTTGTAAAGTGTAAAGTGTAGAATAAATGAGAGCCCAGGTAGATAACAATAGTAAGAATGTAATTTCCCACACTCAATCTGCATAATATGAAGGATTGGAGCCCTCGGTCTCACCTGTCGTAACATTTGCCGTGCAGCAGGGACTTGGCGTAGCTGTCCAGGGAGCGGACGGGATCGTCAGCCTTGTAACGCTGCTCTGTGTCGTCCAGGGTCACAAAGAAGGCAGCCTTCTCCACGGTGTCCAGGGCCTGCTGGTTCCTGCCCTGTCTCAGGTAGGCCTCGCGGGCCTCCGCCCAGGGCACCCTGCCAAGGTGGGGTGAACATAACATTGGGGAAACTTTTTTGATTAAATCATTTCTTATCACGGACAGTGGATTTTTACATCACCTTCAATATTTGGGTTGATCCAATTCAGTCTGCTTCAAGGTTTGTTTAATTACGTTAATTCTGTCAAGTCACCATAGGGTTTTCTACCCTTTGGAGGGAGGAGCCTCCTCTTAGATTACATTACTTTCGGCCAATCGGCGTGATTTTAAACTACTTCAGCAAATAAGCAACGGACAGAGAATATCCCAAGATACCCGATGTGATGTCGAGAGGGCGACTTAGAAGAAACTGACATTATGCACCTTTAAAGCTCGTATCTAGGTCGCGTTCATTAGGCACCAAACGGAAGAAAATGGACTGAAACGGGGAGGGGCTACCTGGACTCATCCAATGAGAAACACTCATTTTTATTTTCCATTTTTAAAAAACGTTTTCCGTTGCATGCTCTTACGAACAGGACCCTGGATGTGTATTTTCTGAACCAGTGTAGAATATATCCTGGGTCGTTCCAGGTCATTTCAGCAAGCCATGACACCCACCATCTCAGATTGTTTCAAAATCGTTTCTAAAGTTAAAAACAGATTATAAGATAAGCATTCCTGCAACATTATTTTGTTTAAATATAATTTGATCTCTGAGAAATTAAGTTAGTTGATTGCACCCACATTGGCCATTTTAAATTATAGGATTGATATAATATTAAATAAATCTAGAACATAACATCCGAATTGGACCCCCCCCAAAATTCTAACAATTAGTAAGACATGAGGATTTCAAAGAAATGGTCAAAAGCCACCCACGGACCACCCACGCCAATCCCAACCCAACAACGAGTATACAACATCGGTTCTCTATTTATAACAAGTAGTATGGAGCTGCGGCTCTGAGTTTTGTTTCTTCATACTATGTAATGCATTCTCAGTGAATTTTGCGATGTTTTTTCCCCCCCCTGTTCAGAGAAATTAGTCATTGATGTCCCCTCCTACTTCCTGATATTACCAGGTTCTGACCACTAGACCACTGGTCCTGCTATTTTTTAAAGAATCTCCCCCCACCCCCCATTAATGTTAAAGGGATAGGTCACCCAAATTACATTGGTTTCCTTAACATGTAAGCAATCTATGGACAAGGTACGACAACAACCCATGCTTTGGTTTTGTTGACCTGGCCACTGTTTCCTGGCCACTGTTTCACAGCGCTTCATATCCAAATCATCTCAAGTAACATAATTGAGTTGCACAATACAATTTTAGATACTTTAGGATGATTTGAACATGAAGCATGAAAATGCTAATATAGGTACCACTGACTTGCAGACTGTTTACAGGGTAAGGAAACCAATACGCAATTTTGTAATTTGGGTGAACTATCCCTTTAACAAACAAACAAACACCTAATAGCAGGAACAGCACCATCTAGTGGGCAGAACCTGGTAATATCAGGATATAGGATGAGACATAAATCTAACAACTTCATTGACAAATTTCTCTGAACAGGGGAAAAAAAACATCACCAAATTCACTGAGAATGCATTACATTAGGGCTGTGAAGATACCAGTATTGGAATATTTTTTCCACGGCAAAAATGAAAACACAAAGCAGACCAAATTCTTTGGTCCTTTAAAAACCTGCTGTAAGTAAAATATTGTGTGCTATAGCTTAGAAAAAAAATCAATGTGACTCTGGATGACAACATAATGATGTTTGTTTCCAACATTAGGGCTGTTTTCCTAAATAAGTTAAATCCGCTTCTTGATTTGTTTCCTTGCCACGATACTAACGAGGATCACGATACTGGTATCGTCCCGGCCCTACATTACATAGGATGAAGGAACAATACTCCCAGCCGCAGCTCCATACAGAACTGATGTTGTATACCCGCTTTTGGGTTGGGATTGGCGTGGGGTATGGGGGGGTCCGTGGGTGGCTTTTGAACATTTCTTTGAAATCCTCATGTCTTACTCATTGTTGGAATTTTTTGGGGTCCAAAACGTTGTTCTTGATTTATTGAATATTATATGAATCCTATAATTAAAAAATTGACAATTTGGGTGTAATCAATTAACTTCATTTCTCAGAAACGATTTCACAACAATCTCAGATGGTGGGTGCTTTTTTTAAGGTGAGTCTCAGTTGGTAGAGCATGGCGCTCGTCACGCCAGGATCTTCAGTTCCATTTCTAGCTGGGGGGGTCGGCCCGTAGGAAAATGTGTCGCTTCAGATAAAAGCGTTAATAAGCGTAGCGTCGGCGTACCTGTCCCCAGCAGTGAGGGCGGCCAGGGTCTCCTCCCCCGGCTGGGGTTCAGAGGGGTCAGCCAGGATGCGCTCCATCTGCTGCTCTACGGCCCTGGGCGACAGCACCTGACCGTCGTAGAACATGGCCACTTTGAAGTAGCGCCCCCGGTGGTACACCACGATGTGCCTGCTGTCCCGCATATGCTGGATGGTGTCTGGACAAGCACAAGGGGTAGGGAGGGACAACTTTGTGTAACTTCCAACAAATTCACAACAAGAATATGATTATGGCTTAAAGGAGCTCTGATAAATTATTCACACAATTTGGACCTACTGAAGAATTTGCACAACAACAAAAAAAAAGGGGGGAAACTGCAGTACTACACTATGTCTAAAAAGGGTTTTCTAGAAACTAAGACAGAGTATCGAGGAGATACCTTGGAGAGACTAAATGTGGTTTGAACTGTTGTTTCAAGCGAAAGATTTGGAGAGTGTTCTCTAAAGCACAAACTATGGTTGGTGTAATTTCCAAGCAGCATTGAGAACTGCAGTGGGATTCTTTAGCATGAAACAAAAGTTAAAACACACAATGAAGAGGATCGCAATGAAACATGGGAGTCTAATTCAGGACACTTTGGAGCCTCGGTCACAAAAAAAAAGCGTGTTTTATTCCAGGGCCTGAATAGCCAATCTGTTATGTAAACTTGGCACTGAGCAAACAGCTCCATCCTGTGATGCCATTTGGCCTGTATGAAAGTGCCCATTGACTGGATATATTTGTGCACAGTCTGCGTACATTTAATGTACACTCGTAGGTTGTTAAATAATAGAATGATTAAATAATCTGTTCAATCCGCATTTGGTTTCCACACATTCTATGGTTCTTAGAACTGCTTTAGTCTGTGTGATTGAGAGACTGGGGAGGAAGAAGTGGCCATCTACCTGTATCTAGGCCTGGGATACGACTGGTGTTGAACATACGCTCATATTGGGCTGAGCACATTGGAATGGTATTTTGAAGCATGAGCTGAAAGGCAAATAGAAAAAAATGAAAAATGACCAAAGCACAAAAAGCCTGCTCTCCTAGAAACTGATGGGAGGGGGCTAGAGGGGGAGGGGGGAGGGGGGGGGGGGGGGGAGGAACCAGAACGGCTCACCTGCTCCCCTAGAAACTGATGGGAGGGGGCTAGAGGGGGAGGAACCAGAACGGCTCACCTGCTCTCCTAGAAACTGATGGGAGGGGGGCTACAGGGGGGGGTGATGAAAGAACCAGAACGGCTCACCTGCTCTCCTAGAAACTGATGGGAGGGGGGCTACAGGGGGGGGTGATGGAGGAACCAGAATGGCTCACCTGCTCTCCTAGAAACTGATGGGAGGGGGGCTACGGGGGGGGGGGGGGGGGGGGGTGATGGAGGAACAAGAATGGCTCACCTGCTCTCCTAGAAACTGATGGGAGGGGGGCTACGGGGGGGGGGGGGGGGGTGATGGAGGAACAAGAATGGCTCACCTGCTCTCCTAGAAACTGATGGGAGGGGGGCTACGGGGGGGGGGGGGGGGGGTGATGGAGGAACCAGAACGGCTCACAGAAGAGAAGAGAAAGAAAGACAGATGGAAGGGGATTTGAAGGGAATGATTGGAGGGGATTGGGAAGGGTTTGAGATAGCTGATCCTATTTCACCAGCATGTTACAGACCTGATAAATTCACTCGTCTGGGTCAAAATAAACTATATTTCTGTACAATAACCATAAGTGTAGATAAGGACTTACAATCACCTACAGTGTCAGACAGTACCAAACAGTTATGAATGCAGGCCAAATGGGTGATACATGAGTTTGTTTTCATGGAACATGCTGGTGAAACGGGCATGGCTGGTGAGGAATTCTATGGGGACAGAAATGGGGGTGGGATAAGGGTGGGGTATGCTGGATCCAAAGCTCGTCTGTGACAATAACGCTCCCTCCTCTTACCCCGTTCCAGGCCTGGGAGGCGGGAAGTATTGAACAAGCGCTCCCATTGGGCGGAGCAAAGAGGAACTCTTTTATCCAGTGCAAAGAGCTGCACCAGAGATAACATCCCGTCCGCAAGTGTGAAACAGAAACAGTGATATTTATGTCATTTGGTATTAAATAGGGAAGAGGAATACACATTAGGGTCATAAAGAAAATAACACTTAGATGAGAAGCAGCGACCAAAAGTGAAGGCTCTTTACCGGTTTGATCTGCGCTCGGTCCAGCATTCTCCTGTACAGCATGATGGCATGGATAGCATTGCCTGCCCGAGCGGCCTGCAGACTGGTGGGAAACACATACAGGAAGTCCTAAGAGAGAGGGAGTGAGAATGGAGAAAAAGCTGACAATCAACTGAATGAATGAAAAATAGAATGACAATGGATAAAGAGAAATATTGACAAGAGATAATCCGATCAAATACTCTGATGAATTGCCAAATTGGTAAACATCCATAAACACATAATAATATTAACAACACATAATGTTGTCAGACAGTACAGTAAGAAAATAGACTAAAACTGCTTCTCCAATAGAAATCCCCGATCACACTTGTAGGCAATGTCATAGAGGCTTGGCTAGCTAAGCTCATGTGTAGAAACACATCATCGGTTCTAACGGTCGTCTCGCGCCAAACTGCGGAACGTGCAGGCCTTAAAATCAAAGGTACTGTTTTTGATGAAAATTCAAAATGTGTCAGTTTGTCACTTTCACGAGGTTGGAGTAATAGAATGTTCCAACTACTTAAGACATTGGCTCGAATCTAGGTTGTGCCTTTAGATTTCGACAAAATTAACAACGAAGGAATAATTTTGCACTTCTCAAACCCTGTTCTGTTTGATCTGTTTCGCAAGCGTTCCCGGAAGTTTGGCGATGTTGCGCCTCTGGGTTTAGAAACTCTGTGATACTATTACCCCCTCATTCGTAGCAGCTTGACGATATACAATGCTAGTACTGACTCTTACCATTGCATAGTAGTTGCTGTTGACCATGATTGGTCCACGGCCTCTTAGGTAGATGTACTCCTCCCACCAGTCACTGACCTGAGAACAGCCAGACATGTCAGATCATTCGAAAAGCTATGGAAAATGTTTTAAGCTATCTAAGAAAATCTGATGAAAACCATATTTAATTAATGTGACTCACATAGTTTGTAGCCCACCAAGATTTGAGTTTCAGGTACCACTGAAGTCTAGGACCCAGGCCTTTCTCAAAATCCTTGGCGAGACCCTCCATCCTCAAGTACTGTTCGTCGTCCATGAGAGGACGGGCAGATTCAAGGTACTAGCAGAGGAAACATGTATGACAATCTAACATGGCACACCTTCAGGAGTTCTATAAATCGCCACATTGTACCCCTCTAGTAAATGGTTGTGATGGATAAAGCTGCGATTTGCTTTGTTCCTGTTGCTCACTCTATTGATGGTGTCCTTCACTGAGGGCAGAGGGAGCTGTGGTAACGATGTCTGGAAGCTGTACAACTGGGGATTTCGCCTGCCGGAGAAGATCTTCACCAGTACCTGCACTCACAATTATGGGTCTGTTAAAGGAGAAGTCTACCTTCAAATAAAAGGTTCATCTTTTTTCCCCCCCCAGTCTTTTGTCTATTTGGTCGGGGGGAAATATTTCTGACATAGTTATGAGCTTTCTAGGTATCATATTTCTGTAGCCCCACCTCTACCCGGCATTGGTTTCCCCACAGGGCAACACGTGACATGGTTGTTTGCAGTCGACTCACCAGCCAGATGCGTGTCCTCCACGGCACGGTGCCATGACAGGCATACATCCATCCATGCCAGGAGAGCAGCCACTTGAGTGCAGTTCGCATGGTGAAGAAGACAGCCACCCAGAGCCCTGTGCCAACTAGCACCCCGCCAACCACCTGCTGGTTCTCCAAGGACATGTAGCGACTGCAAGGAGAGAGGCAAAGCATCCCTTACTGGCCATAAACATGCTAAAATGTAATTGTATCTATGGGATAGCGAGTGAGTGAGTTGAGACTTTACCTAACAGGCAGGTGAGCACCCACTTTGGTGAACAGTGCGAAGGAAGGGTCAGCTTGGACGTACTTTGCCCTCCCCATGTACAACCCCACCACTAACATCAGGCCGGTGGGACTGCCAGGGTACACACCGGTCATCACCCCATTCTGTGAAGGAAATGATATTCAGCTGTTTGACACATCAACATCACTGTTTGTTTGTTTGTATTTATGTCGTCTGCTGTCGTTTTATGTCTGGTATAACTTGGTACTGCTATGCCTGGCGGCAATTTCCCTTGAGACAAAGCACCTTGAAGCGGATGAACTTTTTCTTCCAGGAGTGCAGGCCAGACAGGTAGATTTGTCTCAGGGCCTCGTGGCTCAGCTGCAGATCAATGCCGTCTGGAGAGACGGTGAACTGGAACGCCACAGCCTGGTGAGCTTCTGCCATGACTCTGCCAGAGGTTCTCTACAGTCGAAAAAACATAACAAAACATCACCAAAACACACAGTCCCTTCATCACAAGATAAAACCTGAAGCACACTGGCTTCTAGAATAAAATGACCTTCTCTGGTAAGCTACTTAGCGAGAAAGGACCCACCCACTCATGAGCTACTTAGCTAGAAAGGACCCACCCACTCATGAGCTACTTAGAAAGGACCTTCTCTCAAACAGATGTGACAAGTGGGTGGGAAGCATTTGTTCCATTCAGTGAGCAAAAATCTAGTAACGTAATGGTGTGATAAAGCAGGACTATTTGAGTTTGGCCAATGACAGATGCGCAGCACGACTGCATAAAAGACAGCCTGAAACGCAACCACACTGTATCAACAGAACCATGGTCTCCAAGCAAGATATCAGCACAGACAGAAGGGGTCAGTTATAAATATCTTTGATGTCAGCTAACGTTAGCTAGCTAACGTTAATGCCGAGTCAACTTTGTGAATTCCAAGGCAGAGATACTAGCCAGTTGCCTTGTTTGGTTAATATAGCTAATTGTTGTGACATTCATCTGTTAACTAACAGACCGCTTGTTCTGCCATTACCTAACTAACTAGCTAGCTAGCTAGCTAGGTAGCTAACTGGCAGCAAATTGTGGGAAGCGCTGGCTAGTTAGCTATGTTAACGTTAGACAGCTAGCTAGCTAAATAGTTTGATAGCAGGTGAAATCAACAATCAAACTCACATAGTATCTTCAAATGACTCCTTTCAAATATATTTTAGTACAAATACATTTCAGCTGCGATTTCAACGACACCAAGTTAGCTAGCTACTACACGCTGGGCTACGTCGGACGCTCTGGCATGTTCCAGGTTGCATAGATAGGACATATTGAAGGCTGACTGTCTATCCGATGGGGCCAGGGTTCCGGTCTAGAAGCACGGTTTCGACTGCTCCTACAGTTTGGCTTCGGTACTGCAGTATAACTGACACCCGGCCCAGAATTCCATACACAGCCACATAGAAAAGTCAGATTTGAAAATTCCTTATAAAAACACTTTCATTATTGTAATTCTTTTTTGAATATTTGATGAGGGTTGTTGACAACAACCACCTGTTTTCAATGGAGAGAGATGCTATGCTACAAGCCTCATGCCATGAATATGCATAACCATCTCGAGACAACTCCGATATAAAGTGTTTTTTCTCAAAGTTGCCGGGATGCCACGTGTCCTACATATCAGTACGCTCGTAACAACTTGAGCATTATGAAACGTCTATTCGATCAAATAAACCTCACTGAGCAAATAAGCCATTCCATTTTTATTGACCAAATTCGACACTCATTGACCTCCATACAAAAACTCCTTGCTTGGTGAGCAAAACAACGCCACCTGCTGGAGTTGCGCCTCTCTCTTCCTCTCTGGTGCTAGTGCACTTCTTCTTCCGTGAGGCCAACGGCCTGGGAGGACGGGACACCACCGCTCAACACACCCTGTAACTCTTCTGAAGTCAAATCTCGTACACCCAAATACTTCTCTGCAGCTGCCACCACAACCTCTATTTTCTGCGACTTACGTTCCATCCCTGCGGTACAGTTGATAACCATTGCTATAAACTCTAAGAAGCCAATCTTACTGAAGCATATGTCATTCGTTGGCCTATCCCTCTGTGTTGGCACAGATCTACTACTCACAGGGATCCTCTCAGGACCCTTGACCCATCTTCCTCTACTTTCTTCCCAGCCTCAGCATACGACACCCTCTGCATTGCTCTAACCCAGGTAACCTCAACCTGCCTCTCTCGCACCGGACACTTCTGATTCCCAGCACCATGGGCACCCCTACAATTAACACATACCACTTCTTTACCTATACTACACATTCCTTTGTCTCATTGCCCTTCTACACACCTAGGAGCCACCCTCCTACACACTGCTGCCACATGCCCATAACCTTGACACCTGTAACAAAGTAATGGATTCGGCACAAAATCTCATACGGTATAACTGAAATATCCTAACATCACTTTGTCGGACAAAGACTCAACATCAAAACTCAAAAGAACAGACAATGGCTCTTCTGTTTCACCACTCACGCCACCCTGTCTGCGTCGCACCAAACAACGATCATCACAAACACCAGGAATCTTCCCCTTCATCTGGTCCACCTTCACATTTACCGCTACCCCAGTAATCACTCCTTTCAATGGCGCCCTGTTCTTGAGAGAAAAACAAGTCACCGCTTTTGTCCTTATTCGTGTGGCGTGGAGCGCAGACTCCCTCTGACCAACAGAAACACAGACAATTATCACAAGCCCACTTCGGGTTACCTTCACCGACTCCTCAGCACCCAACTCCATTTTCACCCACCCTGAAACCACATATGAATCAGACAAAAGGCAGGGGTCCACTTTCTCCAAAAATGTCACTCCTACCGTAACAGACTCATCTTTATCCTGACCATCGGTGCAAGGCTCGGGCTCCAAGAACCTCACCAAACCTGCCACCTCTGGTAATTCGCCCTCATTCACTTCTATTTCGCCTCCAGAACTGGATCCTGCGGACAGCTCACACTTCTTCGACCTACCATCTCCCTTTTTTTCCCACCATCTTCAACAGATTCAATCCCACCCTCTGCCTCTCTCACTGTCTTCAACCTCCACCTCTCTCTTTCCTTCCATTCTTCCTACGTATTCCAAGTATACGTCTCCTTGTGATAATACTGCACTTCTCCTAACATCTCATTCTGGCCCTCTCTAGGGACTCCATTTCCTCCTCCCTTGATCAAAGTCGCTATGACCGGAACTCGATGCTAGTGCACATGTGATGTTGGTCCTTATAACCCGGATATAGACGGTCCATGGATCGGCGTATGCGAACGTGAGTAGATTACCTTGAACACTAAGGTTGGACATCTTGGACGCCGTCTCCAGTTGTTATTATACCTCAGTGGTCTAGGCTGGGCAGATGAACCCGTATGGATGTAAAATCATTGACATAATGATTTGAGCGTGTAGAATAGATTTGTCGTTGTAAACACAATTTGCAAGTGTGTAACTGATGAGTTATGAACGTGTAGTTCTAATCGCATTCGCAAACTTGTAAGTTAATATTTGCGAGCAATAATTGCATCTGTACACCTGCGAATGTCAATTTCGCACACTCAGACTTTTGGCACTACTTTAGCGCCCTACCGTGAAAAAAGGATTTGTAGATGTGCAAGCTAGGAGAGAGAGCAGAAGCTCTGGGAGGTGGGACCTGTTTCTTCTAACCAATTAGTCTGGTTGGTTGGTGACAGCTCACATGGGCCGTGTTGTCTAGCACAACCACCTGTCAATCACGATGTGCGTCACCAGTTTACCACAGACTGATTGTGCAATGTCCACCAATGAATCCCAGCTGTTAGCTGTCATAGTGGGTAAGTTTAAATGTCTTTCTTTTATGACTAGGTAGCAAGTTTTTTTTCTTCTTCTTTGTAATACATTTTTGGAAGCTATTGTCCAAGTCATTGTCATTAAGCATTTGTAACTCTAACGTTGTAGTCTGATACTAGCTACCAAAATCGATTCCTCATGGGGATTCCACCCTGTTCCTTTCTCTCTGCTTCCACCATTCCTCATGGGGATTCCACCCTGTGCCTTTCTCTCTGCTTCCACCATTCCTCATGGGGAGCCCACCCTGTGCCTTTCTCTCTGCTTCCACCATTCCTCATGGGGATTCCACCCTGTGCCTTTCTCTCTGCTTCCACCATTCCTCATGGGGAGCCCACCCTGTGCCTTTCTCTCTGCTTCCACCATTCCTCATGGGGATTCCACCCTGTGCCTTTCTCTCTGCTTCCACCATTCCTCATGGGGTATTCCACCCTGTGCCTTTCTCTCTGCTTCCACCATTCCTCATGGGGAGCCCACCCTGTGCCTTTCTCTCTGCTTCCACCATTCCTCATGGGGGATTCCACCCTGTGCCTTTCTCTCTGCTTCCACCATTCCTCATGGGGTATTCCACCCTGTGCCTTTCTCTCTGCTTCCACCATTCCTCATGGGGAGCCCACCCTGTGCCTTTCTCTCTGCTTCCACCATTCCTCATGGGGAGCCCACCCTGTGCCTTTCTCTCTGCTTCCACCATTCCTCATGGGGAGCCCACCCTGTGCCTTTTTCTCTGCTTCCACCATTTCTCATGGGGAGCCACCCTGTGCCTTTCTCTCTGCTTCCACCATTCCTCATGGGGTATTCCACCCTGTGCCTTTCTCTCTGCTTCCACCATTCCTCATGGGGAATTCCACCCTGTGCCTTTCTCTCTGCTTCCACCATTCCTCATGGGGAATTCCACCCTGTGCCTTTCTCTCTGCTTCCACCATTCCTCATGGGGAGCCCACCCTGTGCCTTTCTCTCTGCTTCCACCATTCCTCATGGGGAGCCCACCCTGTGCCTTTCTCTCTGCTTCCACCATTCCTCATGGGGATTCCACCCTGTGCCTTTCTCTCTGCTTCCACCATTCCCCATGGGGAGCCCACCCTGTGCCTTTCTCTCTGCTTCCACCATTCCTCATGGGGTATTCCACCCTGTGCCTTTCTCTCTGCTTCCACCATTCCTCATGGGGTATTCCACCCTGTGCCTTCCTTCTTTTCTTCCCATTCCTTCCCTATATTCCTTACCAGGAAGTCAACCGGGTCTATGAATCCCCCTTACTATTATTGCTATTCCTACAATTTCTCCCTGTCTATATTGCTTAGGTACTCTTTCATACACTCTCCTAATTTCAGTAAGGGCCTCCTGCATAACTATTGCCACTTGATTCCTTTTATGTCAGAGCCCATCTTGTACCCTCCCTGTTGCTTTTAACACCCCTGCCCCTGAGACCTCTACACTAACCCCATACTGCCCTAAACTATCCATTTTAATAACAACTTCATTCATTTACTCCAGGATCTGGCTCCTTTATCACCCTAGTTAAGTTTATTTGGTTTTGTTGGCATGCCGTCCAATATCTTTCTCCTAATTGATCTCTTATCCATTTAGATACCCCCGGCACCACAAGTCATATATTCATTACACAGATCTACTAAAATCATCTGTGTTCTTCCATTAAATTCCTCTTCTACATTCCAATTTGACAGAGAACCAGGTAGATGCTTCACCATTGGCTGCCAGGATGCCCGAGGGGTTTACTCTGATTTACTCATTGTTACACAGTAAAGTCTATAGCTAGTTAGTTTGCTCCTTTCCCGGTTTGGGCGCCAATGATACCCCCAATTTAGCTATTCCCTTTATAATTATATTTTAGCACGTTCCACATTTCCTAACTTACACCAGCCAAGAGTTTCAGTCTCGTCAAAACTTTGACTCCTTTAACACAATTTATTTATAGTCACGGCCTCCGACTGCCTTTAATAATCTAAAGATCTTTCTGAACCTTTCCTCTGTAGTAACTCCCTCTGTTTAAGGATCTGTTCAAGTAGATCACCTACAAAGCTGCCACAAAGTTCCAAGAATCTCATAAATTCTCAACACTATTGCGTATATTTCCTATATCCCCAAATAGTCCAAGGATTTCCACGGATCTATCCCAGTCGAGATTTCCAAATCCCAAAGCTTGCAAACCCCCGGACGAGCGCCCATATTGTCAAAGCTAAAATACCACCTCTGCAGGATTTAACAATTCAACTCGCCCCTACCTACCCAATAGCAGGTCAGTTAATCCTCCTCATTAATTCCCACAGATCTGATAGATGCCGCTCTGCCTTACCACTGAGCTAGTATACAGCTAGGGACTGTTCCTCAACCTCAACAGTAAGGGCCTTACAGTAAAGTGGGTTATCCCCGAAGTCGACTGCCTACGCTTCTTCACCCGGCGCCTTCTCAGGATTGTCCAGGCCAGAGCTTCCACTTCAGTACACTATGAGTGGGTCACACTCCTC